GCTTCGAAACCTTTTAGTCGTCTGATACTTCTCAAGGACCCACGCGTTAACTGCAGGTTTTGACTTCGCGTTAAACCACTGTTCCCTTTCCTGTTATGCCTCATCTAACTACCTGATACTGTTTATGAAAAAAGCTAGCTGGCCTTTAATGCGACTGATAGTGAAAATCTTTATGGTAAGAGCAAATGCAAAATTATAACGTCAAATGCACAAATGATGCACTCAAGAAAAGTATCGTACCTTGCAAATAAGCTATCGCTGCGAAATGTACAGGAGAGGAAATATATGCCTTGAGATGTGGTGTTGAGCCAAAAACTGTAGTATTAAAATGAAAGATTCAAATGAAAATCACTTCAGTATCGAAGCCACAACAAAAGTAGACTAAGAAACTGGTCTTAAAATACAATGAGCTTTTATGTGGTTGTTGGCTCAAAAATCGTAATGCAAAAAAATCAAAATGACCTTAGACCTTAATCAATTGGCATTAGGGTATGAGTGCTGAAAAGTGTCGTAGAGGATGAAAGCAGGTCAACCTTGAAACAGCCAGAGCATTGAGCCCAGAGCGTCAGAGTTGAAAAATGTAACGAGAAGCTGGTTACGATTTTAACTCATGGGTTTATCTGGTTTGAACTGTTATGTCGAAGAGAGGTACAGAGCAAAAGAAATAGAAAGAAAAAGTCCAATTAAAATTGAAGCAACATTCGTTATTAAACTAATTAGCACTCATGTTCTATAGAAAGTGAGAGTGGTACATCATAGCACAAAGCCTCGCAATATCTGGAGAGTCCTACGATTAACTTCAATACGTTCCGCATAAACACGTGAAGAAGCATATCATAGTGCTAAGTGACTGAAAGCCAACACAATCCCACGTCACAATTGATAAGGTACACTACTAATAGAGTGGTATATTTTACTGCAAAAGTCGAAAGGTAGGTAATATCCCAAAAAGAGAGGGTTGTGCAAACGATGTTAATAGCCCGACAAAGGATGAGTGGATGCATCTACGCTTAGAAGGGAATACCTCGATGGGTCTTATAATGGCATACGAAGCACAGATCGTTAAATCGTTGTGAAGCTGTGGTACAGTATATTGCAGCTGGTTCCTCAAGAACAGTTTCAAAGAATGCCCAGTTGCGCGCACCTGGCGATTTTTTCTAGGTTGACTTCTGGAGTGAGTCGAACAACTGGTAGACAAAGAAAATGCCTTTCGAGCTTTCGAGATCAAATAGTAGATTGCAAGTAGTCGCCATTACTGTTCGGATAAATCACAATTATTAGTGCTGACGAAAGGCAAACATAGCCAACCAATTTTTTCACTAACACTCATTTTTCATGTGTTTTTTAGCTCTCCACTTTCCAACGCTAGCACACTCGGAAAATAAGTAGAATCGGTGGCGTATTTTAGTGTTTCGTAGTTGTCCGGGTTGCTGTCAGGAAAAGTGACACCCAATTTTTATGCATTTTTGGCAGCTCTGCACTTTCCAAC